GAATTCTGATATATTAAATTCCAGTGAAATATTAGAAGTACACTAGTCACCTTAATACTAAGTATGTTTCAAATAGTTTTAAGTTCTACTCCTCAGATTCGTTTACTTATTATTTCATTAGAAAGATCTATTGGACAATAATTGTTGTTTTGTATATAAAAGACTTATAAAGTCCTGGAAGGTTAGTTTCTGTGTGTGTGCGGGAGTCTTATTAATATCTTAATGGGTCCTAACCATGTCCAAATTATGGGACCTCTAAATTATTGAAATAACACATGTAGTTTAAAAATTAATATGAAAATAAACTATATCCTTTGCTTTAAAAAATAATATTAAAATATTTTTAAATTATAAATGAGAAGCAACATATCAAAAAGCATTAACTCCAAGACAAAATACACCGAAGAGCCAAAAAACTAGTAGACCTGCCTAATATCGTGTAGGGCCCCCGCGAGCAGGCAGACGTGCCCCAACACGACGTGAGACGGAGTCGACTAATTTCTAAAGTAGAACTGGAGGTAATTGGCACCATGAATCCCGCAGGGCACTAGAAATTCGTAAGAGTACAAGGGGATGGAGATCTCTTCTGAACATCACGTGGCAAAGCATCCCAGATGTGCTCAACAATGTTCATGTCTGTGGATTTTGTTGGCCAGTGGAAGTGTTTAAATTCAGAAGAGTGTTCCTGGAGCCACTTTTTACACGCAGTACCTTTTATTCCCGTGTCTTATAACGCAAAGAGAAATCATCTGTTCCTTCTCACTCAATGAAAGGACGTAATTCAAAATAGATTTTAAGTAATTTCTAAAACAAATATTTGTAAATGTAAATGAAAAGATCGAAAGTAGGAAACGAACAAAGAAATACAAAATAATATACAAATTCTAAAATAATTCTAATTCTAAAAACATTCGTTGCATCCAACTGCCCGGAATTACCTCTATTACGTTCACGAAGGGCAGAAATTCGGAGCGGGCGAATATATTTGTCGACAAGTTACACAAAAAATACTCATATTTAAAAAAACAACAACAACAACAAAAACATAACCTTATTTGAAGACCTGTTTTTGTAGAACATATTTAATTGATTTAAAGAAAAAAAAGTTATCTTCACAATTGTAGTTGTAGTAAGACGCTGAAAAATTTTGATTTTTTTCTTTTTTCGATAAATGAGAGTTATCAACGAAAATAAGACCTGCACCATTCTCTTAAACGTCTTTTACGCTATCCAACAACAAAATTTACTAAAATACGATGAAGCAATTTTTAAAATTTTTGAAAAGATCCCAGGGGCTTTATGTAAAGAACTTCCCAAAATTAAAATATCTGTTTCAAATTCAAAAGGTCAGCTAGATTGGATTAATATCAACTTTGGAGAAAATCGGCTGAACGGTTTAGCCGCTAGCGTTGTTCACAAATGGACAGACGTTTTGCCGTCAATGAATTTTTTCTGCCGAAAATTCGCCCCTTTTTTCCGCAGCATTACATCACTTTCTCTTCCCAAGAAGCTCCTTCTCAAGGGCGAGAAACAAAATAATTCCATTGCGCAGAAAATTTCCGCACCGCATATACCGTACGTTAACTGTCATTGTGAATGGCATGTACAAGATTATGTTCAATGTAAATGGTCCGTCCATATTTTCGTTAAAAGTACATACCGACTGAGATTGCTGAGAGTACGTGCTGATGTCACTGCAGTGCCACTCTCAGCATAGTCTTAGAGTTTCAGTTCTGGCGGTGGCAGGATTTTCGATCTAGCTAGATAGCTGAGTCGAATCCAGCCCCTGTGCAGAGAATTCTGGCGACTGGCTGCTCTGATGGGTAGTTTTCCGAGATTTCTCCAATTAACAATATACGAATACCGGAGCGGTTCCCTAGCAAACGTGTCACGAACCGCACGCCATCTATCCTTCTTCTTCCTGGACCTTTAAGTTACACACACTACCCCGTCACTCGGGAGAGTATTCTGTGGCTTAGAGCTTATCCCTGCAGGGGCGAGGCCACGCTGAGGGAGATACGTGGATGGAGAAACTCAGCTAGCCGACGTGTAGATCAGCGCCAGATCTCACCACCAGAGGGGGAACTTCACGCGATAAACACGTGCACTACACTTACAGGACTAATGACCGCACCAGTTAGCGAGCGCGGAAACGCAAAACAATTAGTCAATTAAAAGTAAACGTTTATGTCCTCACGTCTACATTGTTTTACATCAGAATGGCTTTTTAAGACCCATTCACAATGCAAACATAAACTTACCATGGTGACAACTTAAAAGTAAGGATTACGTCCATAAGCGGACTCATTCACAAAACCTTCGCATAAGCATAACATGTAAGATGTAAACTTATAAACTTGCAAACTTCAAAGTCTGGGCTTTTGCTTAAGTAAGACATACGAAATGAACCAATCACAGTGGATCGAAGTGGATAGAGGAACTATCGCCATGTGTCATGGGGCATGGACACAGTCGATACTTGGAAATCGATTCTCAACCTCTCAATAGTAAACTAGAATGTCTCACAGCCAATAGAAATCCTTATTTTGCTTACGCTTATGTTACGCAAAGTGAGTGGTCTGCTTGTGTGCTGGGGCGGGGGCGGGGGCGCAGGCTGCTGGGGGAGTCCGTGCGAGCGATGGTGGGGCGCTGCGTGGGGCGGCCGCCCGCCGCCGCCGCCGCCAACCCCTCGGCCGCCCAGCGATGCTTCAGCTCCAAAGACGACTGCCGCACGCCCAAGGACGACTGCCAGGGGCCCAAAAACAAGGCGCCCGACTGCCCCACGGGCAAGGAGCACACGTGCGCCGTCAAGGACGCGAATCGGCACAAGAAGGCCAAGCCAGACCCGTGCCCACCTCGCCATTTAAATCCCGCGTGAGCGCAATTGCATTGATGCCTTATTTTTAAGGGGGAAGACTCAGGCCATGAGGTCTGCTCTCCTGTCTGACCAAGCAAATTTCGCAACGCTCCTTTCACCAACTAGCAGAGAAAGGAGGTATTTGCTTGGACGACGAAACAGGCGATTTGAATTCAGCTCAGAGGCTTCATTTAGCCTTGAGGATCTTTCACATGCAGGAAATCTATAACATGGGACAGCCGGCTTTACTCTCCCTTCCGAGGGAAGGAGTACTAAGATTTTGTTTCACCTCAAGCATCCACGACTTTGATCGGGTTTGTACCTGCGAACTTGGCATAACAGCCCAATACGCTAAACGGCGCACCATCGGCGGCCGCCACCGAGAATTGCAGAGCTGATTGCTGTAAATTTTCTTTCGGATTCGTTTGATCAATGGAACTGGGCAACTCAATATTTATATTGTGATGTTCGGTCGCGTCTTTATCTTTTTTATAATTATTTTACATTATTATTTATTTTACCTGTTTTCCAAAATCTGTTTATTCAAATTTGAATACTAATCTTTCCGGCACGAGCGCCATTGCCACTGAAAAATGTGTATTAGGGTCGTGGGACTAAAGTCCCTCCCTCTACAGGATAGATGATATTTATTATTTTATTGGTGATGGGAGAAGAATTTACATTTCTTGGTCTTCAAACACACAAATCAACACCGCGATAAATAGTTACACAATTTTCATTCATACTGTGCACGATATTTTCATGGCCATCTCTGTTATTTCAGTGTGTTTACCAAATTTGTTACAATGCTTGGGCTTCTCATTAATAAACATTTTGTACGCGCGGGGTCATATCTGGGGATGTGCACTTCCCTGAATATGGTGATATCGTCAGCCCGTGAATTCGCTCCATCCACCACTTTACACTTCCATTCTGTCAGCCGGGCTCGCCATTTCCACAATACTACTTTTCCTATGCGCTTCTACGCGAAACCTACTAAATTCAGTACTTCCATAAAATTCCAACTATCTGATCACTGAAGTCAGCGCATACTCCTTCTCTCCGATAAATAATTTCACTCTCTCCAAAAACACGAAAATTGCCAGCACATGTCGGCTCAGCATCTATCATCCCTTCTGTTTTTTCCTCAATCACTTTCTATTGTTTGTCAATGTAACAATCGATTTCATCTATCACCGATGTCTTTTAAAACCTTTTACATTTTTGTTAAATTTATTATAATTTGGCACTTTTCCAAGGTTCCGAAAATTTTGCTTTTGAAATCTCTGCTTTCCCCAAAGTTTGTTACCTTCTAGTTCACCTTCTTTGCCGAAATTCCAACCCGTTTAGAAAGCAAATTATACCAGTTGCCTATGTTCATTTGTTCCAGTACGTATCTGCCTGCCTCTTTAAGTTCTCCTTATAAATTTTTGTACCCCATTTTCGAATTGCTTCCAGATGATTAATACAATTGTTTCTTTTTCTAACGCTTATTTTCTAAACTAAAAATGTCCCTATTGCTCAACGAGAACATACAATTCAGTTCCGGGTTCACATTGTCAATTGTTTCATCTCCTTCTATCCGCTTATTTCCAAAAAATAATTATATTTTTTGGACACAAAAATTTTTATTGACGAAAGTTTCTTATACTGGTGTTCTGCTCGGTTGCAATACGCTTTCAGTGCTAGCACTATCATTCTGAACATCAATTACATTATTTTTAGGCTAAACTGCAAATTAAAATACTTTGTGTGTATCAATTAATATTACAAAGCAATTACTAACAATTAATAATACAAAGCAATTAATATTTTATTTTGAATTTTTTAATTGAGTCAAATTCAGTGCATTTTTGTTCTTCAAATTTTTAACTTTTTTTTTCATTATTCTAAACAAGTAACATTATTCGATGTATTATTTTTTCAAGTCTTTCATTTTCTCTTACTATTTCATTCTCCAACTGTCATTCTTCATTCAGATTCGACATACTCCACGTTTGTGTTCGAATATTTCTAGCTAGTCCAAGATAATCTTGGACGATTTTCAAAAATAACCAACTCAGTGCCAAAGTAACCAAGTATACAATTGTAATTTAAAATGATTTTTTATCCTTTCAGGATTCCTCCTTGGTGTACGCTGCCTCACCTGAAAAATGTCGGAAAGAAAAAGATAAAGGTAGAGAAAGATCCGTGTGATGAAGGAGAGAAGAAGTGTCCTTATGACGAAGGCATAGCTTATAGAAAGTTTAAAAGAGCAGAGGAGAGGAATTTCAAGGAGACAATGCAGAAAAGGATAGCTGTCGACAAAAAGTTGGACGAGGAATGGAAGAAAGCGAAAAAGCGCTTTAAAAAACCACCCATGAAAGACACATTCACCTGCGCAGTAAGTAGTGAGAAAACCACACGACAATTTAGTTCATCTATCTTACGTGCATATTTAGTTATTCGCGAGATGCATATCCCTATTCGTCTCAAATAAGAGAAAAAAGAAAATAACTACAATCCACCGATTTCTTATCTACACATCTCCGGTGTAAAATTAAAATGATTTACTGTGTATGAATGCATTATACTATGTTTGTTCTAAAATGTATTGTTGTGATAATCGTCCAATTAACTCTGTTGCTATTCTTACGTGATGTAATAGTATTGGAAGAAGTATTTTGAGTGAAAACAAATTTTATAAACTTGTTGACTTTTTTTACTTATAGTTTGTCTTATAGTTTCAATCAGAGTCGCTGACACACAAACCCAGAGTCGCCGTCATAAATTTTAAGATAGTTGGTAGAAGTAGTGTTAAAGCTTTCATTAATACATGAACTATTTCCGAAGTGGATTTCCAATGTATTCATTCAATTATTGTCGCAACTGATATATCTTATGTGTTAGCAGTCACCGGGTTTACTTCAGCCGACGTTTTCTTATCTTTTTGTCTCGAGAAGGTCGTGATACGTTGTTTTGTTTTACAGGAAAAACCAGAAGAATTTCCACCCAAATGTGGAAATAATTGACACTTCATTCAACAATACTTCAGTCAAATACAACATGGCTGTTTGTCGGGAAATGGAGGTGCGCATATGCATTGAGTCTTGGCACTAACAGCAATATGCGCTTAAGGACGCATAAGTTTCAGGTCGCATATGGTTCTAAAGAATAATTTCGAAGTAAACAAAACATCTCGGTGAAACAATATTTGCTGACACATCGTGAAGAAAGAGCCTCTGTCCGCCATCATTCCGTAGACGCAACGAAAGTTTTGTTGAAAATGAAACTAAAAGATAACTGCAAAAGCAAAATGTTATCGGAGACAGGGCCAGACCCAAGGGAGAGGGCGCGGTGACTTTGTCCCCCTCAAACCAAAAAAATATCAATTTACACACTTTATTCAGAACAATTACCACATAATTTCCCATCATATTGAAAGGAGAATTCCCATTACGAATAATATTACATATACACACTCACATACACACATCAAAGCTTACAAATAAAAATATTATTTCACAACGAGTTAGGGGATGGGTCCGAACATAAATTGCCCCTCAATACTTTCTGGTTTCACTTCTGTCCGGAAGATGCAAATGTCCTATTCATTTCAATTATAAATTGGAAGGCAACCTTAATAAATATGTCGATTTCGTTTAGCCAGAATTGCCGGTTAGCCAATTGTTTTTTAAAATTCGGACGTTTCAAAATATGACCAGAAAGACTCATTATTGAAGAAACATTAAAATTATTTCAATTAATTTAACATCAAACGAAAGCTTAATCAAAACACTGAATAACAAAACTTCCATTGCTTTGTTCTTTACCAGTACTTTAGAATCTCACCGAAGGGGTCCGAAATATAATTTTTTCTGTTTAAGAGTTGACTTCATGTTTTTTCACATTCACAAGTAGTTTTTAATTGTGCAAAAATGGATCTTACCGAATTGGTTTATATGGAAATTAATATTTTTTGAATTTTCTTTTTTACATGAACACATATCATAAGTAAATTATTTTCCAGGTCAGGGAGATCTATAAATTATTTTTAAAAATCTTTTTGATAGTATGCCCAACCATTTCGGAAAATAGTGGTTCTATTTGACATGTTCTCCTGGCATATGTGAAGTCGATATATGAAATATTCATAGGCCAATTGCAAGAAAATTTGCCGCATTTCACCAATAACGTGGTTCAGCGCAGACTCAGAATAATATATTTCAGGAAAGAGCACTTAAATAATATGCGCGAAAAAATATTGTTTGCAGTTCACAACATCCCTTTCTGCAACGATTATGTTGATTGGATTTTAATATCTAAACATTAATTTAACATCTAGTTTATTTCATTTTCTGCGCAAACTTATACTGCCCATTGTCCTTTTCTTAACTGAGTGTGACAGATGCATCTTCTTTGCATTCAAGTTGCGCCCATGAAACCTGTCTCCATTGGATGAAGGGATCGTGTCCACGCTGCCCAACTTGCTTTGACGCCTCGTGTTTATCGAGTTGCGACCCATGTAGTAACATCGAACTTGCGAAGGATATTCAAAGGTATTACTTCTAAACTATTACTACTTTGGAAGGGGTCAAATAATTTTTCCAGCTTCAATGTTACAAAAAATTAAAGATTTGCGATAAAGAAACTGCAATAATGGCTAAAATTCAATTAAAACTACGGGGGAAAATCCATTCCAAAATGTTCAAAAACATATTTTTCTTTCCATTAGATCAGATAGAAAAATCTAGTCTTTATCAATGTACAGCATCATAATGTTTTATGTATTACAGTGATTAATAAAGTCTATATACACATAATGTAAATAACGCAATGCAGTGTAAGGACCGTTTCATAAAAAGGATCTTTTAAAATCCCCTGATAACTGCGCTTTGCAAATAAATTGGCGTCATTCGCAGGGCGGGCGAATCAAAGAGGCGCGAATCAAGAGACCATCGACCCGCCATATGGCCATCGACCCGCACAGCAGCCTCCAAGATGCGCTGTCTCGTCGTTGACACGTTGTACACTGTTTGCTAACAAGGCAAAATAAAAATTGTAAAATTTTAATCAAAGTTTATTTCATTTAAGTCTTTACAATATGTATCCTTTCGACCCACCATACTTTTTGTTGAAAAAAAAAAAAATCGAAATCCAATTTCTTAAAGGGCTTGCGATAGTAAATGGAAAATAATTAGAAAAATAGTTACAGACGATTTACTTTGAGAAGGGAAATGGAATTGCAAGAGACAATGATGAATTCATTTACAAATGAGCTAACTGTGAACGAACGAATAAATGAATATAAACACTTAACCTGCAGTTATGTCGCCAGCAAAAGCGGTTTCTGTAGAGTCATATTATTTAAGTACGAATTAATGTAAATGCTTCATCCCGGGAGGTGGCGCTGAACGGGTGATCCGGCGCCGACTAACACGCCTGCCGGCGGGCGCCTCCGCTCCAGGTCTCCCTCAGGCGGCGCCACCCCAAGGCTCGCCCTTGGCGCGACTTCCGACTCAGTGATTAGTGATCCCGGACATCAGGTGATGTCCTGAGCCATCTCTCCCGACATGTGTGGTAGTGTAGTGACGTGTGCATGTATAAGGTGAGAAGAAGGCAACATAGTGTGGAAGTAAACGTAACGCGCGGTTCGCGGCCCCTTTGTTAGGGTACCGCTCCGGCATTCGCCTGGTTTTGATTGGGAAAACCACGAAAAAATACTGATTACGAAGTCGACATCTATAATTCTCGGCAAAACAGAAGTTGGAATTCGATCCAGCAATGTGGCTAGTGTGATATTACTTAAAAATATATATATTCCCTTCAACTTCTAAAATGTATTCTAATCAGGGGTGAAATGTAATTAATACATTTTTGTCACAGTCAGAACTGTTCAGTGACTACAAGTTCTCTAAAAGCAAATCACACTTTCGACTTATGTGGTGACTTTGCGAGGGATCATATTATCAACTTGCGAGGGGTTATGTGATGGACATGCGAGGTAAAAATGTGCCTCTTTACGTTAGTCTTTGCATCATCTCCCCTTCAATACTGAGGAATTACGCATGCTGTCTTCAACGAAAGACATTTCCAACTGAATTCAACTGTTAGAGAGGTGGCAAAATTATTAGACTAGAAATATTGAATAAGACAAGATGTATTTGCGACTGTAGATATTGACACACTCTGTTTACTAATGAACGAATATTTTCGATGGGATTCATGTCAAGGCTATTTGCAGCCTATTGGAACCCAGAGAGATCAATGTTTTCAAGATGTTTTCCAACTTTCTTTCCTGTTGTGATTGGGAGCGTAGTGATTGGTTTTCTTCCAAACATTTCATTTATGTGAGGGAACCATTGGTTCTTCAGGATCTTAAGTATTGGTCGTGTCTCATTGAACCATTAACTGTGAATACATTTTCAGTAACTTTAACAAACATTACATTTCAAACGGTAACTTTTGTCATGTGTTTCTCATGACTCATTATAAACCGTTAAGTCAGAGAAAAAAATATTTGGCCTAATAATTTGACGACCTCTGTATGTAGTGATGATATTCGGAGCCACAGTAGTATACAAAGAATTATCGTTCTATGTGGAATTGAAGATACTTTGCGATGAAATACGCAGATGAGAGAGGGGTTTCTACGCCCAGTATCCTGTCTCTTTTATTCTATTTGCATGGAATCAGACATACTGTATCTCTTCAATACAGGTGAGCCCAAGCCATACAGTTGTTTAGAATTCTGTTTGGCTTTCGTGCCAAGGAAATTCTTGGTTTATTTTGCAACAGCATCGATAGTTTCGAAGGTAAATATTGCTGTGATAAAAATTGATGATTTGCAAGCATTATACTCGCACTAAAGAAATTAATCTGATGCTAATCGACATGGATATTGTAACCACTGATACAATTCACTTGGACGAGTTTTTGGAAAATAATAAATTTCATGAATTGCCCTAGACGTATATTAGCTGTCAGAATGACCACTGGCGTTCTAGAAAAACCCTTCACTCTTGCGTTCTAGTGCTATTCAATCTGTTTGATGAAGGATCTCTTATCTAGGAGGATGGCATTTATGGAATATTGCGTAGATGGGAACTCCTAAATCGTAAATAACTTTTATTAATGGATTAAACGCAAAGTATTAGTATTGTAAATATGTATTGGTCTACATAATTTCCGAAACGAAGTCAGATAAGTCAGACCGTTACAGTTTTAGTTGCGAAACCTGCAATCGTATTCATCACGAACGATTGGTGTCAAGAGTATTTTCGTCTGCAACGTAAGCTAAGCTGTACTCCGCTCTCTCACAGAGCACGACGTCACAGCTTCTCATTAGTTTTCTTAGCGGCGCTGCTGAGCCCTCACCGCCTCCACCTCCGCCACCGCCGCCGCCGCCAACACCGCCGTCACCGTCGCCACCGCCACCGCCTCCGCGACCGCTAACGCCAGCACCGTCTCCGTCTCCGCCGCTACCTCCACCTCCCCCGCCGCCGCCGCCCACACCTCCGCCCCCGCCGCTACTTCCACCGCCTCCGCCTCCCGCCGCTCCGGTGTGTGCACGCCGCTCCAGTGTGTGGCTGATAAGAGGCTGCCGCAGCGGTCACGCGCTACATTGCGATGGCTGCGCTGGAGCAGAGGAGGTCGCCCGCGGCCACCAGCGGGGAGGAGCCCGCCCCCGCCGCCGCGCCCGAGCGGCCGGCCCCTGCCAGGTGAGTGCTGACGAAATGCACACTCTGAGATCTGGGCAATTATGCGGTAGATTTCAATCAGAGCGATCAGCGACATGCGAGTTGTGAAATTTAAAATCTCGCAGCATATCCCTCAAACGCTCAAATGTAATGGAGAATGATGATTAAATTGTATTTTACGTCTGATACGGTATTTTAAAACAATTAGTTTAAACGACAAATATTTATTAACAAATAAAAAATTAGACTTTTTACATCATGTCACTGTTACATCATCAACTTTAGGTCATCTATTGTGATCTGGCAATCTTAAAAAAGTATTTTATATGAAGAAAATGTTTTCATGACAGTTTACATTTGATTCTTTCCGTTCTCGCGGAAACGATTCCTTCCACGTTTCCACCCGAGATCTCAATACCAACCCCAACATCCCCTGACATCAAAATCATACTGACGTAATCCATAACTCATAAAAGTTAAAAAAATATGTAATTATACGGCTGTATAGACAGTGTTAGAAGATTAAATTCTGACGAAATTCAAATAATGAGTGTTATATTTTGAATTTGTTCTTTTCAAAAGGAAAAGTATTTGTTATAAAACATTAGACAATAATCAAGAACTAATGGTACTTGAGCAGTATATACTTTCACACATTGTTTCAACGGTTTAGTAAAAGAATAATACTACTTGCATTCGCTTAAGAGTTTCCAAGCAGCAGTTTTTACTTTCTCGCTCTTATTTGATAATATAAGAAAGTATTGTAATCGTGCGCCGGAAAACGAATTTTCGGTAGAAAACTCTTAACCGTGCCCTGGTGACGAAAAAGAGGACAAATTAATTTGTTAACTTATTAATTAGTATCAAGTAGACGTGTGCATGATTTTTCAAACCTTTTTTCGACGGCACCCAGGTGGAGTGTGCGCGTGTCGGCGTGGGTGGCGGCGGCGGCGGGCGCGCTGGCGCTGTGGGGGGCGACGGCGCGGCAGGTGGTGAAACGCCCGACGCTGCCCGGGGGTGCCAGCTGTTCGCCGGCTGGGGCTGCGTGCGCGGCGGCGGCGGGGCGGGGGCGGGCGGCGCCGCTCTGCCTGCCGGAGCTCGTGGGGCCGCTGGCCGCCGGCGCGCTGCTGCGATCGCTAGGCGTGGTGCAGCTCGACCCCACCTACCAGCACGCCGCCGCCGTCGTCAGGTGAGGCGGCGCCGCCAACTCGACATGCGGCAGGGCCCTTCGCGCACACTCACCGCCAGAGAAGATTGCGGCAACCACATCGCTGTGGGCTCAGTTCGACCGAACGACAGGCAGTAGGCAAAAACCCTGTGGCGCGTCTAGTGTGCATGCTAGAACTGTGTTCTGGCTGCTGGGGGCGGGGGTTCGCCACAGATCAGAGCAGCGCGACTACGCCACTCATGAGAATACCTCCATTTAAACCAATGATTTGCCAGCAAACGCACCACCCGGAAGCGCTGCTCAGTGGCGCCAGGGGTGAAGGGCCCCTTCCCATGGCGCCATTCAGCAGAGCTTCTGAGAAGCGGCGGAGCCCTTCCCACAGGGCCACCGTCACTGACTGCGAGTTATTCATGAGTGCAAAAGGAAATAGTGTAAATCCCATTAAAAATCTTGAAAATAAACGTTTTTTGTCATTCGACATATTTGACAAACAAGGAAGGCCAAATATTACCTTTAGTACCTATGTAGTATTTTCATCGTAACTTTTCTATAGTTCTTCCTTCTGTGCAATGTAATTCCATCAGTTCAGTTAGTCTTATACATAATGATTCAGTCCTTGTTGCTCAAACAGGAGCCGGTGACAGTATACACTACGTTATTCGAGAGTGCTAAATTAAATATTGTAAACCCTTTTCAAAATTTGGAAAGTAAACATTTTTTGTCATTGGACATATTTGACAAAAAATGCTGCAGAAATATTACATTAAATATTGTTCCCTGTTGCTATTATTGCCTTCTTATCAAACTAATATGAAATGAGAGAGAGATGTATTATTTAAAGTGTTATTTACGATAGTTTTTCATATTTGCGCATATAGTCAAAAAATCGCAATTTCACCTCGTGTAACAGGGGTTCTGCAAGTGGCCAAAATGGCCTCCTCTTGCGTGAGCGCAAGATAAGCATCAGCGCCGCACGGCCTCCGTGAGGGGCACAATTTCCGGGTCCTATCTTTCCTTCTGCCACCACACTTTCAATGCACCGCAGAAGGTCATCACTATTCTCAACCCCAGCTCCGAATGTGTTGGGAGTACCCGAATCATAAAATTCAGATTCTTAAACCCCTCCTTTGCGCAGGAAATGTGTAGAGAATTGAAAATTACTTTTAAGTGTCTACTTTGCTTATGCTGCACCCGCTGGAAATGGAAAAGTCATAATCTCTTCGCATGCATTGTTCGGCAGTCGAGGGACTGTGATGTCTTGATTCGGGGCTTCTCGGACAGTATTAGCAATTGAGTTTCCCAGAGAAGTGGCGAGCCCTGTCGCTAGGTGCAGCCGGTCGTTCACTTGCTGTAGCCCATGTTACACGATCACAAGCGCATAGTCAAAATTTAACGTTAATTATTTACAAAACTCAACGGCGAAGTGTTGTGTCTAAACAATTAAAAAATCTTATCAACTTTTTATAAATATTTTATTACCAATACGCTTGGTAACACAATTAATATTCAGTGCTCATGACGTTCCCATCAATGATTCTTGTAACTAAAACAAATACAGCGCCTCCTGCACGTGTCGAAGACTCCCCCACACACTTGCCAAGGCCGTCCAGCCACATATCTTGGCCAGCGGTGTATCCTGGTTAACCCAGCTCGCTTCCGTCAACCTGCTGAGACTCATTGCCATGTAGAGGCACCGGCTGCACTGATCGACCTCTTTGGTTAGCCCATTCGGCTGCAGCGCGAGGAGTGTCCAGTTTTGGCGCATGGCATTTGCGCCGGTGCGCAGGAAGGCGGCGCTGGCCGTGATCCTGATCCGCGCGGGGCTGGGGCTGGACGGCGCGGCGCTGCGCCGCCTCTTGGCGCTGGTGCTGCGCCTGGCGGTGGTGCCGTCGGCCGTGGAGGCCGCCACGCTCGCCGCCATCGCGCACCTGCTGCTGGGGCTGCCCTGGCTGTGGGGCCTCATGGCCGGGTAAGCGCTGCCTGCACCTTCGCCGTAATTGCTTTTCGGTTATTTATCGCAGGTAATACCGCGAGAGCTTTGGAAATTGTCGATAAATTCCCGACTCGCGAAGCGAGGAAGGGATTTATTTGAGAATTTACGAAGCACGAATGGTATTTAATGGTATTTACTAGGCTGTCCGGGACCGAAACGTCGGCACCTTCGCCATGGACGCGGCGTCACCCGCACAGCCTAGTAAATACTGACTCCGGCCGCGGAAGCCTACGCTCTCACTCGGCATTTAATGGGACTATTCCACGAGTAAAATTATGTCCAATAGAGTTCGAAAATGCACCAAATATAACTGAAACTGAACTGAAGATAACTGAAATCGTATGTTAAAATCAGGTTATCTTAGTACATACGTTGTTTATTAGACATCGATATAGCGGTCGATGTATAACGCGTCCCAAGATACATGAGTCACAGTTTATTATTGGTTAGGAGGTAGAAGTGGTAAGAAAAATTGGATAGAAAAGCGATAAACTCGAGATACACCGCCCTGATTGGAACATTTTGTATGTATAGTTAAACACTATTGGTTTTCATTTCACGAGTGGAATAGTCGCTTAAAGGCTCCCACAGGCCGGCGCGGAGGACTCGCAGCCTACGCGGAATGGCCGATTCAAATTCATAAGAAAAACCCTTGCAGACCATTATTGCGGGGAGTCCGGTGCAACATTTCGTCACGTGGAACCAAGGAGGAATATTCTTTTATGATGGTACTTCCGAATTCAGATAGCCTGTTAGCCCTTCTAAGCCGGTATGTTTCTTTAACACGGTGAGACCCACTCTCGTCAGATGTCGACTCCTCCGGAGCTGTGAAATGGTTATCTTGTCTCAGCACACGATGAAAACACGCATTGTGCGGAATTCGAACCCAAGCCATTGCCTTTACCAACTAGGTTATGTAAACCAGCGGTTTGTTGTTGTTTCTTTTATACCAATTCATTTATCTTTGTCCGAATTATATCGTTCAGCTTTTTGGCTCTACAGATGATTGATGACTTATTCTAGGATTAAATATTAGGAGTGCGGAAACTCATCGAGCACCGCCAGAAGTCACTGGGAGATGATTGAATATAAATAAATAACTTCAGCATTTACAAAGGTGGACAAGCAGTTTAAGAATGAATGAAGATGATATCTGTTTTTTTATTCCCAGGAAGGGAGGGTTGTCTATACTGAAACTGTAAAAGGATGGACCGTTATGTTAAGTAGATGGAAGAAGAAATTGAGGTATGTGTGAATTTTTTGCTCTTTTATTGGTTTTAGATTGAAATCGGAATGAAGGGTTGAGTTTCCAAGAAACCACGGGGCCTTGGCTGCAATGCGGAGGCTTCTGTTGTGGAAGAACTTGGATCTTGTTTATCTGGGATGTTGTTGGTTACTCGTGTCTAACGACAGGGGTTTTGGACCGATAGTGTGCGTAAGAACAGGGAAAGAAGGATAGAAGGTCATAGAGCTGGCCACTGGCGACTCAGCTCACAGCAGATTTGCAGCAGCTCCGCAGTGAAGATCTAGGCCACGTTTAAGAAAATTTTAGCGCAATGTGAATGAAATTCGATCATTTTTTCTTCAACAATATTAATGTCACATCTGCGCATTAAGCGGATTTGAATCTCTCGTAACCTCCCTCACTTATCATACAGTAGACAATGTTTCTTTGGAACCCAATATTTCTGACAATAGGGTAAAATTAACCCAGTTCTAGAAAATTATTTATATTAAATCTTTTCATCACAGACATACACTTACAGATACAATTTTGTCAGCCATTCTTATTTTAGAGTCAAATTTTTAAAAGGAAATGACGGTGCTAGATTTAAAATGTGTGGATAGCTCGGTTAGAATATACCCGATTCACGCCATCAACATTACAATGACATTCGCCGAAAATAAGAAAAATCTCTCAACATTCATTACGGTAAAGTAGTGTGGCATTGCTGTAGTATATCGCAAAACACACTCCGAAAATAATTCGTAAGTCACATCTTGAATTTCGCATTTTGCAAAGATTTCCCAATCTACTGGCTTTTTAGCTGCAAATTACTGCGGAACGAAGAATGAAACCGTAAGCGAAGGTTGCCCCAATACGAAGAGTGAAAGGTTTTGCGCGTTTTTTAGGAAGTGATTGCACGGAAATTGTGAGGAATATATACATTATGATAGGAATATATTTAACTTTATTTGATGAGTTTTTCATATTACGACTTCGTGATAAACGCGAAAATAGGAATGAATTAACAAACAAATCAACAATTGTTATTTCAATTCATTTTCGTCTTGACGTCTTTCACCGTTCTCGTGATAAGGACTTATTGGGTGAATTACTTCATTCACAACACACAGCTCCGAAAACAAAAGCTCGTGAGAATACGGTATTTATTTTCCTTCATTAATGACACACTTCTCAATCATACTACTCTTCTCATACAAACTTTGTCAACAGTTTTACAAGGCTGGAGGTACCTATCAGCCGCCGTGGCTCCTCTTGAAGCTACACCGGCATACAAATTGTTTGAAAGAACGGCTTCCGTAACATCATTTACATCTCAAAGACGACATGAAGTCACTACCAATGCAAGGTGCTGTAACTGCAAGAGAATGAAGGTAAAAACCTTGCACTCGAAACGAAACAATTAGGTAATATAGGAAGGTCTGGTAATTTTTCCATTAATTATAATCTATACAAATGAAAACTTGTATAGATGTATGAACCTTTTTTCCGTATTTTTTTTTCTTCAAATGATATAGTACTAGAAAAATACCCGGCATTGCCCAGTCTTCCTTGTGAAAGAGGAAAAATATAAATTTGATAAAAACACGGGGCTTAAGATTATTATTTTTAATAGAATTGCTTTAAATTGTAATAAAATACTCCTTTCATTTTATTTCATAGTATTAGATTATGGTATTAAATATTTTAATCTTACGCACTGCTACTGGCCTCTGGAGGAATATATTAGGAACCACACTGCTGTTAGCGATCGGCAAAAAATAATGATCTTTGTGTATCTATCAACAAATTAATTAAATAATTTATTTTCCTAATTTTGGTTGTATTAATCTTTACTTTTCAAGGACTTTGCGATAATACGGAAGAGAGGCCTATACAAAACTGAATCTATTGATTAACTACGTTTTGTGGTATTGATGACTGCTAGATGTCGTTGAATTCACTTTTATTAGTGCAGATTGATAATAATTCTGTTTCTTTTAAACAATAAACTTTCAGAAAATGTAGTATTTCTCCGATGGTACATGGCCGCGGAGGGAAAATATAGTATTTCCTCTAAGATATGAAGATATTAGTGAACACCTGTATGCTTGTGATAAAACGGGTGCTGTGCTCCAGGGCCATGATGGCTGCCGTGTCTCCTGCCGTGGTGATCCCCGCCCTCTTCCGGCTGCAGGCGAAGGGCTACGGCACCGAGAAGGGCATCCCCACGCTGGTCGTGGCCGCCGCCAGCCTCGATGACGTCATCGCTGTCACGGCCTTCGGGATCATGTACGGCATCGTCTTCGCGGACGGTGAGCTCTCGGCCACCTTTCGGGGAGGAGGTGGCACACGAAAACCTTTTCCTTCCGCGGTAAAAGGAATTGAAATTAAGGAATGAAATAACTACAAAAACTGTTTGGGCGAGGTGAATTTACTATACGTTTTACACACATGCAACTACGTTATTTTAACATGGTAATTCAATATTTATGTTTTCTTGAACCACAAAATTCTTAAGAACGTTATTTTATGTTAGGAGGTAAACTACCCCCAAAGTACAAAATTATTTTTTGTCGGTCTAAACCTCATGGATTTTGCTTTAGCATCCTCCTTTGGAGTCCCTCAATACTGGTGGGACCTTACAGTGTATACGTCTATTATGGAGTATCTCCTGTCATAACGGCCGTTTCTCACAGGGATATTTCTTTCACTTTTCTATGTAGAAAGTGAATGTTAAAAGGAAGTGATTCTTTTACATGGAATTGTTTTGGTATGAATACTGGATGAACAAGAAATGATATGATCATTGAGTTTTCTGCACGTATTCGAAATCTAAATATTTCCCCCAGAAGATGCAAGAAACGTTGGATCCTAATTTAACAGTGCACTTTTTTTGCCCCCCCCCCCACAAAAGTACGGAATGTCCACCCATCGAGAGGACGCGTTACATCGTGCGATTTGTGTTGGATTTTTGTTTGCGAAGTATAGGCTGTTGTAGCACCAATGGTTTACCTTACATTATAATCTGCAGACATCTATTCTTTTTCATTTTAAATTGTTTGATCCAAGTGTGGAGAGTTAATCCCTATCCAGTGGTAGTTCACATACAGGGGTTTATGTAAATATTTTCTTATAAATGGTACAAAACCTCATTCCTTACCATATATTAGTCAATAATAAACAGTTTACATGGATCTGGAGTGTTTCTATGTTTATATAATGCAAATTTTTGCCCAAAAATAATAATTTTTTCAGACCTACTTTTGAGTGCTTGTTGGGGCTTATCCAAGTAGTTTATTGGACGAAACGTGCTTTAAAAGTGGAATTTCCTTTCCGCCGTTTCCTCGCAGAGGGCAGCGCGTGGGGCGGCGTGGTGCGCGGCGCGCTGGCGCTGCCCATGGGCCTGGCCTTCGGCGCCGCCTGGGGCGCCCTCGCGCGCTTCGTGCCCCGCAGCGCACACGTAAGTGCACCGCCGCCTCGCGTTCTCGCACACGCGGACCACGCGCGCCCCTGCACTTACCGCGCCGCAGACATTACCTCGGTGGCCGGTGCATGCACCTTTTATCGGGCGATCAGGATTTAGCTGGATACGACTTTTATCCCCCAGGGTTGTTAGCCTTGAGAGTATGAAATGATGATGATGATAGTGTGGGGTGGGAGGACGACACACGCATACAAATACACACAAACACTCCCATTCCCAAGGCAAGGGTGTATTTGTGTATGTCTGTATGTGTGTGCCGTCCTTTCATCCCTCACAATCTCACCTCATCATCCATACCGCCAGGGCCTTGGGGGACAGAAATCGGAAGTAGCTAAAATACTGACCCCTCCCCACCAGATGTCCGTAAAGTTAGCATACCCACTTATCACAAAATAGAAAAAGAATTTCCCAGAATTTTGTTCTAATTAAGAATTAATTTATACCCAAATTTAAAAAAGTGTCTACCGATGCACAACATCAAAATGTTCAACACTAAAGAGTGAGTGTTTTTCTTGTGTGGGTATGCTAACTTAACGTTAACTTGGCGTACTTATTCTTTAGTATTCTGGGATACTGTTTTTCAATTTTGTGATAAGTGGGTATGCTAACGTTACGGGCATTTCCACTAGATAAAGGTACATGCACCTGCTAAAGCAGGATGCACGTGTGGTCCGAGATGGCTTATCCGCGAAACAAATATGGCCAGAACCCTCTGGATCTTCACAATTCATGTATTCTGCAGGTTGTGTAGGAAATATCTACAAAAGGAACAGATAACATTGAAATATGTTTTGAAATGTAAAGTTAGAACAAGTATACCATAACTCCCGAACAATAACGAATGGAATTTGTTGTAATTTTCCTCCGCACTAAGAGTTCACAACATTATTTGTTCCTTCACCGTTTACTACTCTAGAGTGTCAATGGAACGCAAAGATCCAGGCGGTAGTGATCTAATGTAAAGAGACAGCATCGCTGTCCTTAGGTTTTTATTTCTGGGCGTGGGAGACCTTGTCTTCACGATGAAATATCTCACGGCATTTCTCGTCTTTCTCGTCCGGGCCTTTAGTTACCACATGAACGCGACCGTATCGCGCAGTGCTGGCGAAAGACGCGAAATGCCGTGCGATGTTCCATAAGAAGAAGAAGAAGAGAAGGCCTGTCGCAAGTTGAGCTTTGGCGCAGGCGAACGCGGCGCCGCTGCGCACGCTGCTGGTGGCGGGCGGCGGGCTGCTGGCCGTGCTGGGCAGCGACGCCATCGGCTACGACGGCGCGGGGCCCCTCGGCGCCATCCTCGCCGCCTTCGTCGCCGCCCACGCCTGGCGCCGCCGCGGCACCCACGACCACGTGAGGGCCCCGCTCTCGCAAACATTCGCATTGCTGGGAGGGGGGGACATTTACAATGCGCCTTTGCATTGTACGAGTACCTTGACCATTAAGGCCTATTCACAAGGCAAACATAAGCATTGCGTTAATATAAAGTTTCGACTACGTTTAAGCGGACTCTTTCACAATGCTTTCGCAGAAGCATAACACGTAAGACAAGTTTACAGCTAGCAAGCTTCAAGATTCTTATGCTTAAGTAAGCCATAAGAAATGACCAATCACAGTACGTTAACTCAAAGTTAAGAGTCTAAAGAGATCAAAGTCGATACACAAAGTAAAGCCATCTACACTAGATGGCGTTGGATAAGCAAAAGAGCACAGATTACTACATAAATTTACTATACAGAACTCTTTCCAAAAGACTGTGGTTTGGTTCTACTGATTGCGTGCTGCGTGGGCACTAGTTTAAATCATGGTGGAAATAACACCATGGTTTAAATTGAACCCATACGCCATGGACACCGTCAATATTTTGAAATCTATTTTCACATCGAACCAATAGTAAACGTAAACGTCTCACAGCCAACAGAAACTCTTATTTTTTTACGCATATGTTAAACATTCTGAATATTTCAGTCTACCACTTATGTTAATTTTTACATCTTGCGTTATCCTTGTGTTTCTGTTTGCAATGTGAATGGACATTTAGAAATTTCCTTTGCGAAATGGATGTCACGCAGACGCGAGTGTGGGCAAGTGAGGAAGGGAGGGAGAACGGATTGGGACGAGGGAGAGGGAAGGATAGTGAGGAAAGAGGAAAAGAGAGAGAAAGTGAAAGCTGAAGAAGGACAAGTGGAAGGGCAAAGTGATGTAAGGGCAACAAGAGGAAATGGTGGGGTTAGGGAAGAGTAAGGTCAGTGAAGAGTAAGGAGAGGGACACGTAAGGAGAGATAAGGTCGGAGGGAGGGAAGGGTAGGGAGTGGGAACGGTAAAAATGGGGGTAAAGAGAGAGAGAAACAAAAGGAAGGGGTGGGGGTAAAGCGAGGGGGGGGAAGGGGAAGGAGTGTCAAGGAAATAGGAAAGTGTTGTTTAGGGGGGAAGGGAGAGAACGAAAAAGTCTTCAATCATTATTAACTACGAAGGTAGTCTTAAAGTCAAAGTGCTGAGTACAATGTTTAGATGTGAACTGTTCCTCGTACGTGGAAGAAAAATATCAGCAATTCTTACAACTCATAATGAAATTATCTACTCCATCCAATGCCAAAATTAAAGACATAGCAACCTGCCAGGTGTATGCATACGTTTTTGCGCGTTCTTGTAGTAAAAAAACACGTACTTTTCAGGAGAAATTCATTTTTTGTTTATTCAAAACACTGAGTATCGACCTCTACACACTTCGACCATCTTTCATGTATGTTATGAATAACCAGTACAATGCCAAAAAAACTGCTTGTCTTTTGCGGCAAACCATTGATCGAGCCATTTTCCAACTTCTCGAAAACGGTGAAGTGCTGCTCAGCGAGCGCGAGCCCCATTGGTGCGAAGAGGAGATAGATGGTGCGGAAGGATGCCCCATCCAAGCGATTTACTGGTGACTACTGGTTTTGCTGTATGAGACGGCGCATTGTCGGGCATTTGCCGGTCATTCGAATCGCGTGGGATCCATTTACCGAGGCTATTGATCTTCCTCATTGCTCATAAACGTCTGCGGATTGTTTCTTGTGACACATTTAATGCTTTTGCCAATTGCTATTGTGTTTGAGCGGTAGCGTAGTCGTCCAATAACGCCAGCTATTGATCGCTTCGCACTTTTGTGGTCACCAGAGCTCGCACAGTCTTTCAAGTTGCAATCATGTCCTTTAAATTGTTGAAGTCATTTCTCATATGTTCTAATCATCGGGGTGTGTTCACCATTTGTGCTTACAAGGAAACGACGGCTTTCCACAGTATTTTCCTTTTGATTAAATAAGAAAAACAATGCGCGCCGCAATTGTTCTTTTTCAGGCTTAAACGTTGACATGACATTGAACGATACAACAGAGACGCTAGTATTTACTAGGATGTCCGGGTGACGCCGCGTCCATAGTGAAGATGCCAACGTTTCGGTCGCCATTCTACGACCTTCCTCAGGGCGTAAAGCCTAGGAGGAGGAAGGTCGCAGAATGGCGACCGAAACGTCGGCACCTTCGCCATGGACGAGGCGTCACCCGGACAGCCTAGTAAATACTGACTCCGGACGCGGAAGCCTACGCTCTCACAGACGCTAGTGTTTGGTGGACTCAACTTGTGTGTGACAACTTGGTAGGTTAATGTCAGGGTACAAAACTGACGCTGTGTCCAACGCATACGCTGCGTCCTGTTTGCTGGAGCCTTCTGTTAGTGCAACCGCAAAAGCCGTATGCCAACACCTGGCCCTGCCCGTTCTCGAGCGCTGATGCGAGGTGCGCGCAGGGCCCCGTGGCGGAGCACTTCCGCGCCGCCTGGGCCGTCTTCCAGACGCTGCTGTTCGCGCTGATCGGCGCCGAGGTGGACGTGGCCGCCATGCAGCCGCTCCACGTGGCGCTCGGCGCCGCCGCCCTCGCCGTCGCCCTCGCGGTACGAACCAGCGCCACGCACGCCACCCCACGGCCCTGGCGCTCACGACATCATAACCGGGGCGGGAGCGTTCAAACCGTCGTGGCTGATAAAGTCGCGAGTACGAAGGCAAAATTGTAACGACCACTGCAGCCATGCGCCTGTTCGCATTTTATGTGCTGAAGCCGATAGGTCCAATGCTCCAGGGCGTACTTGTGCGCGGGTGGGGAGTGTGGATAAAGGCTAGCGCCTAGGTGCATACCCCCTAACAAATATAAGTAGACTTATACCATGAAGCCGATAGACGTGATTCCGTTTGTACACATTCGAACAATGCGAGTCTTCTGGATGCTCGCTACGTATGTCTAATAAAGATTAGAGTATCTCAAGAGCACAGCACAGACGTCCTCCCGGAAAATATGAAAAAACTTAAACTTTGTAGGAACGTACGGGGAAAGAGGACAATTGACGGTAATAACTATTTTATCGAACGATTTTAGTCATTAGTTAACAACTCGATCTCCTCTCGACAAAATTTCACATTATAATAAATGTTCCGGCTTTATCTTCTATTTTTGACTAGCCTATGCTTAAAAACAAAAAACAGTAGTTTTTTATTTTCCACCCTGATAATATAAAGAGAAGAAGTATCATTATTCTTCCAGAATGTCTTCTGTCGAAAGTCCGTACAAGAACAAGCGCCAATGTTGGTGTGGTTTGCGCAGGCACGCATCGCTGTTACTGTGCTTATTGCCTTCGGGGCAGACCTCACGTGGAAAGAAAAGCTGTTCCTGTCCTTCGCTTGGTTTCCAAAGGCCACCGTACAGGTAAGTGGTGTCAAGACTTACTAAAACTAGGAAATAGCTGTGATTTCTCTGCCATGGGTATTATGGTGTGACATGAAGAGACAGTTAACTTCTTCTTCCACTAACAACCAAGTTCTCGTCTGGCCGGATGATGCCGCAACGAAGGTCGAACTACAGAAGGTCCATCCAGTCCATCCAATCCATCCAGTCAGTCGAATCCTCTCGATTCAGCGTCCCTCGGAAATGACCGTGAATGGATTGAAGAAGGAGTTTACACTATATTTTAAAATAGTGTGACATGCCAACATTTTATACAGGTGTCTCAGACTAAATGTTACAAATCCTAGGGCATGTAGGTGAATCGAAGGTGATCACGTTTAGCCAACAAATATTTGGTGAGAAATTCATATAATGAAGTTACTCATGTGTCGTTTGTCCCTGACTGGGAGAAAACACAACATGAATTGGTGTGTGCGAAACGCGATATCCGTTTGCGTCAGAATGTGACCCGCCAAACACCACAGCATCATGAGTAGCCTATCAATCAGGGTCAAATGTTTCGTCTGTAACTTAGTTTTGTAATTTCCCGCCACATATATTTATTGGCGAAATATATTAAGCGCTGATACCACTATACTTTAGAAGTCGGCATCATTTATCCGGAGACGTCTGAATATGACTACTTATGTTTACAACGAGTACACTAATGTAACTTTCACAAAATTTGACGTCACCTCATTGGAATATCACATTAATGCGAACAATGAATTATATCATATGCCTTCAGTAGAGGTGAACTGCTTGTAACGGTTGTTTTGGGAACAACTCTATGCCCTAGAGCATCTAGTACAAGAATAGGAATACTCATCCGCCAACTTAGTCTCTTGACTGCCAGTGACATTATGACATATCTGCTATAAAGAATACACTATGATATAGAAATATTTTTTATCATTAAAATCAATATTTTACAGTATCAACAACGTATAAGTGACTGGCAATTCGATGCACAGTTACCATAATTACTACACACATGGCACCACCTATGTGAATAAATAAAAATAACACTTACTGACACTCTTGGTAAAATTATCTCAACATTCACCACAGCCAAACCTCATCGCCTCCGCCACTTCGTGCGTGTCAGGTGAGCAGCAACACTGAACCCTGGCTGAGACAAAGTAAACAAATCCTCGCAAGCGTTTTTTGACGAACAATTTTCGGAGTTTTAGCAAAAGCGCCCATACGAACAGGGCATCTCAGACCAAATGTTACAAACTTGGTTCTTAGAGAGATCGACAATTGATACTATTGCCAATGAGTATAACCTGAAAATTGCATATATTTTTTATGATATTTACCCTTGATTGTTAGGCAACTTACACAGATATTCGGAAGGTAAATGTGCGCTCCAGAAGGTGCGGTTACTCAGTGGTAGGGCGCTGGTTTCTTGACCTGAAGGACCTATGTTCGAATCCCGGCGTAGGTTGGGATTAGTATCTGTGATTCCATTCAGGGCAGCTCTGAGGTCGCCTCACCCTCCTTTCCAAGTGAGTACCAGGATCTTTCCAGGGGGTAAAGGTAGCCGGAGCTCTTCCTCGTGACGAGGACGACGAAAAGGTGGGGCCCTACCTTTACCAGCCCTGTGAGCCACAAGTCAACCTGTGTGCAATTGTACAGGGATACCTTTCATGTAAGGTAAAGTTCCTTGAGGGCGGCAGAACGTTACCTGCCAAACATCATGCATAAGGAGCTGCCTACAAATTACACTACATGTGTTAACCCGTAACAAGAAATTCCCCGCTACGAGTTCATTGGCAAAATGTGATCATTTTCGCCCCATCTGCACGCCTAGAAGTTTGTAACACTTCGTCCGCGGCTGCCAAAGCAAGCATGCGAGTGCGCGTGCGCAGGCGGCGCTGGGGCCGGCGGCGCTGGACGCGACGCGCCGCCTGGGGCTGGCCGAGGCCGAGCCGCACGCGCGCCACCTGCTCACACTGGCGGCGCTCGCCATCCTGCTGACGGCGCCGCTGGGCTCCGCGCTGCTCTCGCTGCTGGGCCCGCGCCTGCTGCACCGCGCCGCCCCGCCCGCGCAGGTCAGCTCCACACAGGCCCGGCGCGCCAACACCCAAGGCCATTAGGCCCGTGGGTGTACGTGTTTTCTTTCGGGAGGTGGCGGCGACCTCTCCTCGTTGAATGGCGAGATCCGGCGCTGACCTACCGTCGGCTAACGGGGTTTTCCCCACCCGGGTATCACCCACCATCAGGGCACTGCCCCAGCTGGGCCAAGCTCTATGCTCCCGACCGGTCTCCCGGCGTGTGTGGTGGTGCAGTGTATGTAAGTGTGCGTGTATAAGTAAGAGGTGAGTATAGGACAATGAAAAGGGGAATGAAAGATCACGCGCAGTCCGTTAGTGCTCCGGCATTCGCCTTGATGTTGATCGGTAAAACCACGGAAAACTACCGATCAGAGCAGCCGGCCGCTAGAATTCTCTTTCACACAGTGACTGAATTCCACATAGCTATCTAGGCAGTATAGAACCTACATACTCCCGGTTAGAGGTACTGCAGCAACATCAGTTGATGCCCTGAGCCACATCTCCCAGTCTGCTCGCTCAATTACATAGCGCTTCTCGACCAAAAAATCTTTAATAGTGTTCTTGATAGCGGCTGAGATCGCGGGCGGGAGGCCGTAACACATGTGAATACATTAGTACTTTATTAAACCTATGCGAATTATAAGTTGTTTTTTAATTATATATCTGATAAATTTGTAATTATTCTTTGTCTTAAGTAGAATTATACGGAACACTTTTTTCATAACAATTTTCTTCCACGGATTTATATTTGAAAACACTGTTTTTAGCATTGTTTCAGAAAAGACGAGAATTTTCAAGTTGTTGGTCAGATTGTACCATTTCTATAGGTTTATTTTTGCCCTACTCAGAGGAAGCAATTCTTTCGCAAATCGTTCACGATGTGCTGAAAAGTGAACATAACTAGAAACCATATTCGAGATACATTTCTATAAAATTTATTTTTGAAAAAAGAATCGAACTTTAACTTTTAGTATTGCAACTATCAATTGAAAACCAGGAAGTACTATACTAATATCTATTTAATACGGAATAGAAATGTCAAAATTTTATTTCCAATTTGGCCAAAAATTGAAAAAGAGATTCCATTTCTTTAAGAACACAATTTTTACAAAGTAACGATCGTATTTGCTTCAGCGATGGAAAGTGACAAGCATTCATATATATACTCTTTCCAAGTGGGAGTAGGAGATCATTTTTTAGCTTCGGTACATTTCGTCCTACCATTGGGTCTACAACATGTCGCGTTACGAAGCTTTCGATGCATATCGGGCGAATTGCTTCGGTCGTCGCGTCCACTCTTCTCTCAGCTCCGAAGCCTGCGCATCTGCCCGTCGCTCTGCCCTCGGGAAAGCCTGCTGCCTTTGCGCGCCGCTGCCCTAGGGCTCGCCGTTGTTGACCGCGGCGGATTTTTAGCTACATTGCCTTCCTATGGAATGTCAGCCGCTGACTGGGGCGATTTCTAGCGACGTTGCTCTTACGTTGTTCAACAATCGAATGATAAGCCCATGGCCGGAGCAGTACCCGAACACCCGGACCACCACACGATCTTGGCACACCGATCTGCGCACGCATTCATTTCTTATTCCTTGTCCCCCTCGCTTCCTTACGCATATATGACACCTCACATGCACGTGTACGACCGCAGGAGTCGGGAAGCCTAGAGCGTTTCGCCTGGGATGATTAAGGGGGGGGGGTGGAAATAAAAAACCGCCGACGTATAGGGGGCACCGATCGCAAGTTTCAGCGAAGGAGAAACATCGCCATATTGCGAGATGTAGCATGCACTATACTTACGAGACTAATGACCTAATCCTGCGACTAATAACCTAAGCCTAAGTAATTGACGCACTTGGAATCAATACTTACTCACTCACTTATTCATACTAAATCAAAATCTATTCAATGCCCTTAATCTATTAGAAAAATATTAAAATTCATTTTTGTAACTGTCGTAGGCATCAGATTTCAGTTCATTACACTAATTCTCACAACCTTCAAGAGGTTTACCTTAACGTATCGTGATATATTTACGTATTTTGTGTACAAAGCGAACAATTTGTGATTTACAAAAAAATGATAGATATTGTTTATTCTGTTTTAATTACTATGCAAGGTATTTTAGTGTCCATTAAAAAGGACTGTCGGTTAATGTAATAGATAATAAAAAAATAGTTTTGTTTCTAGAATGTAATTTGTACTCAAATGAATTAATTATTCTCAGAATTTGAATTCAATCGGAAACTCAAATGAAGGGTTTGATAACGTGCCCGAGGACAGTGCAACTGGCCGTTTTGAATCGCAGAGCAACGGTCAAACCCCAACCTCCGCAGGTGTTGAAGACACCGAAAGTGCCAATGGCAGGTTCGTAACTAGAGATATATTTTACTAGCCTGTGCAAAGCATTAGTAAACTGCGCCAGTGCAAATGCAATGAGCAACTGTGATTGTGGAATTTTCAGGAGCTTTTTGCACGAATTTACAAGGATTTTTTGATCTTCTAAAGCTCCATAATCTTTTTTTTATTTTTGATATTTTTTTTGTATTTTGTTTCTAAAACCATTACATATTATTTTCGTGATATAGAGAATACGAAGTCACAGTCGAAATAAAATAATTTCGCATGCCTGGCGTTTCCAGACCGTCGTTCGCACGCCAGGAAAGTTTCTGCCTGGCGAAAGAGGCGGCGGAACCGGATCATCAGAGGGGAGTGAAGGAGAGCGAAGGCGCCGCCAGCCTCCGGAGGCCCGGCGCCGCGAGAGAGGCCGCACGCGAAACGCAAGACTCGTCTTCGCGTCTGTAGCGCGCCTTTCAACACGCGCCTATCACTGTGTACCTGAACAAAACATTATCTTTCACAGCAGAGTTCCGACCTTTGGAAACAAAAAATACTCGCTCTGATCAGAATTTAAAAAAAAAATAAACACGTTTCCAAAAAATTAAAAAAACTACTATTACTTGCTAGGAAGAGGCATAATAAATATGATACTGTCGAATCATTATCACTTTTAGCCGTGAAGTTGCTAAAACGATTATTAATTATGAGTTACAAAAAAGATAACGTAGAATAGATCTGTCATTCCTCAGGAACGAACGTAGCTCCTAATCGAATGTAAAATTTTTGTCAGCGGTTGCGTTATAATAAACTTTGTGTGTCCAAATAAACGTAAACACATGATATTGAAGAAAATTTATTTGTTTTCTGTTCATAAATTGATAACAATCATAATTACACAACAAAATTATAATTCAATTCACTTTAGTTACATTGATTAACATGTACTCTACCTAATAAAATATACTTTACTGAAAGTTGTTAATCAATGCGTTTGTGAAAATGATCTATTCAAAATATTGCACTCAGATATTAGATATATAATTGTATTAACATTAACATTTGTAAAACAACTACATGAATTGTATTAATCTCTACTTATAAAATTTGAAGCTTATTTGGGTAACATATGTTCAAACCTTTTCCTTCTAGATTTATAACAACCATAAAGTATTCTCAATGAATGTTCCTATTCGAACTACAACAAAACATTCATATACCTCGAACACATTGAAAATGTAGATTTAATAGCAAAAATAGTAATAGTTCTAAATATTATTCTTGAATGTTCAAATAATTGCAGTTTTACTTCTATTGTAAACTCACAAGGTGTTAAAACAAAAAATTAAAACCACACAAAAATTCAGAACACAAAAGGAAATGTGTAAATACACTAATATTTTTGTACACTTTGGTTCATGTTGTAATGAATATGACATACTGTCAAATGTAATTTGTAACAAAATAATAGATGGAAAGCATACAAATCTGTAGAAGGTAGACTTCTAATAAACAATATATTTTAAATCACTAACTAATTAATTCGTCCCCGAATCAGATGATTCACCAAACCTTCTGAGAAGATAAGGAATTTTTAACAATGTACATAACACCATATAATATGGAATAACATTACGATACCCCAAATTTGGATAATAAATACGCTCAATTGAGATGTGCGAGATTAATTCTAGGTAAATTTGAAGAATAAATTGTCATGGCTTAACCTTAAATCTTCTTGCTAAAAATTGAGTTGTTACTGAATTCTAATTATGATAGGGCAATATAGCAAAAAGCTTAACATAGTTTTTCATTTGCACATTTATAAAAACAACTCAATGTTTTGTTTCTGTGATTTTGACCTTTGACACTTTTCACATCCTTTCACTTCTACTCTTTTTATGTTGCAATAAAATTATCTCTTGAAGCGACACCACAAATGTGACAAATGCCAAAGCTTATGTTTCGCGTGTCTGGCGACATACTACGCAAACAAACGGATATTTCAAAAATAGAGAACTAGAACGAAGTTAGTGGCGTGCAGAATTATTTTGAGAATCAATAGGAAGTACCAATAACAAATCTATTGATCGCACTTCGAGAGAATTTGGAAAAGTAGTGGAAATGGAGGACTTATTAGTTTCATAAAAAAATCCGCTATAAGTAGACCTCGGATTTTAAGAAATGCCTATTTAGTTCCTTTAGGATGTTGTGGAAAATAATTGCTGAAGCTTACGAATCATTAAAAAATAGATCTACCGAATGTATCTAATAGTGCTTAAAATGACCTAAAAAGGACGGTTGATGATATTTTTCATATTTTATTGTCTACGCCTGTCTAAAACAAGTAGTTTTGAAGCATTATCACAGGATAACTAATTTTTAAAAAATTTGTTACACGGAAACGCAAATACTCTCCCGACTTTACCGAAAACTCCTGAATACTCCCTGATAAAATAGGCCATCGAATAAGCCCCGAAATTTTTCACCCAGCAGACCGAACGTAACGAGCTCCATTAGTCAATACGAAAAGGATGTTTTACCCTCGTCTCCGATAAGCATCAAGACAATTGCACGCTTGCAGCTACGCCGTTGACAGGTTGAGGATGAAACGAGCATATGAATTAATAAAAATAAATGAAAGAGAACAAAATAATATGCTTGTCACTTACAAATGTGAAAATATTTGATTCTAAATAATAGAAAGTGCTTAATTTAATCCTATTGTCATCAATTGTAGATGTCAGAAAAATAGCTTATCATGTCTAATGTTTGTTAAATGCTTGGCTTAATCGTTTCGAAACCTATTGTAAGAGCCTACAACGTTACTTTTCTCCTTAAAATTCCGAGGTATGGTTAGTTATAAGGTCTGTTTAACGCTAATGCGAAGTAACTTCAAAGTGGTATACAGCGCTCTCGCTAGAGCCGGAAGAGTTCTTAGTCTTTACGACGATATTACGCTATAACCGAGCCGCATAGGAAAAATCCACTTTTCTTACACTTAACGTTTGAGTGGCATCTTCAGCCCTTCCATTCGCAAAGGCTGGCGCCTCGCAGCTTCCCTATCCGCCGTTCAACGCGATGTCGCCACTTGTTCCGGTTCATGACAGTCGTGTCACGATCACAGGTCCAATCAAGAGGTTTGTTTCATAGCCCCTTCAGAAGAGAACTTCTCCACGTCCGGATATTACGTTGAGAACTGAGCTTCCCTGCGCTTCAAGAACCATGGTCGTTTTCTATTCCGTACAACTATGGTGCTTTTCTCTTAAATAGTACTGGTAGAAAATTAGGGCGGCTTTAACGTCATCTTTAAGACAGTCTTATCAGAGGCGCAATCTAGATATTCAGGCGTCCAAAGAAAGCATAGAATCTGCGTCCCTGTCAGGATACTTCGAATTAGAGGTGTTTTAGGTAGTATGCTATAAATAGCGCCCCCTGTGAGTGACGCCCATGGCACGTGCCATGGTTGCCATACCGTAGACACACCTCTGGGCCTCATCACTTACTCGCCACTCGCATCGTCCGCCGTATCCAGTTTTCTGTGCAACGATGGAAATCGTCCGATCTCCGAGAACCGGAGGCGGAAGGCCTCAACTGCCTTCTCGTGGGGGCGCGCGGCGTGCAAAGATGGCGCTTGAGCACTAAATCGCAAAAGGTCAAAGAGGTAGAATAATACACTACGAGTACATAGAGTGGCTGGACCTATGGTTTCAGCGCTCTTAGTGGACGCTCGACGAACTAGCGGCCGCCATGATTCTTGCAGTCAGAACATGAGAGGTGCCTGATGGCGGCGTATAGAACTGTTGTAGTGAATGAACATGTCGTTTGTGTCAGATCTTATTTCTATATCGTTATGTTTTCTTATATCTGTATTTCAACTATATTAGAGGTTAGAATAATAATATTCACCTGCCTTCACTATGTTCGGCATATATAAAAATGGAAGCCATCAAACCACAAATATATCATTTTTTTAAAAACTTTTCCTCCGTATTTGTGATCTGTTTGCTTGGCTTCTTATTGGAATAACATTCACTTTCAGATGTTGTACTAACTACACCAACATTTCAACAGCTTCCATTGTTATGAAGTTACCTATGAAAGACGCAACGTGTTTTTTAACGTTTCTCAGTTCTCTATCCTTACATATTATGATTCCGTTTTTAAACGATGGTTTTTGGTCGTGAGATCATGTAATATGAGGTTTTACATAACGCGCGGCACACGCCCACCCGGCCTTAACCAGCGCCAAACGAAATTATACAATACTCTGTTTCTCCGGAGAGCGCTGCTTTGACTGCAAAAAACATGGCTTCAATTCACCGCAAAACTGGAGGTACTTCAGCCACTCTCTGTAGAATATTGTAGCTGGTTGCAAAGGGTCGCCGCGGTTTCGGGAGGAGAAATGCTGTCGCGGCCACGGAGCGCGACCGCTGACCTCGGGCCGACTAAATTTTCTACCCGCAGTGTTCGCACCAACGTCCGCGTCGAGCAGGCCAGAGTTGCGGGCAGCGTCATCGCGCGCCGTTGCGCTGTTGCCGCGCGCCCTTGGCTGAGCCGCTGGGAGCGCTGGACTTCTGCTGGCGCCAGAACTCCTGGCGGCTGGCGAGGAACGCCACGCCGTCCCGCGCGTGCGCCGCGATGTGGTCGGCCTTCTCCTGGTGCAGGCACTTGATGTCTGCGCACACCCGCACCCGCACCCACGCCCCGCCGCTCAAGCCGCTCGCAAGCGCCCCAAATGCATTCCACATGCCTTCGACCCCGAACAACTCATAAAAACTTAATTATACAGGAAAGCCAAAAACATCTTTCAACGGAAGTAAATTAGCGATTAATGATATTCACACTAAACTATTTGTGCAAAGGTTTCGTTTGAAATCATTAATCCCTGATTTACAGCATCATCTGCAGTTCTTTGGCACTACAGCAAGCTTTGGTTCTACAGCAAGTTGTAATTTTTTGGCTATCCTGAAAAATGTAAGCATTCATGACTCATCAAATTCACCGGGGTCAAAGATATCAGTCGTGCACTTTCATGGCCCAGTCGGGTGCTACAGGTGCAACTACGGGGATCTGAACGTGCCGGGGTGGACTGGGCGCTGATTCCGAGCACCAAGAAAGAAAGGGTGTGGATAATACGAGGGATTTGTTTTCAATTTTTCATCGAAAATAAATTACGGACAAGGGGAATCACAAAATATATTATTTTACTAAGGGTCACGTACGATCGAAGCCACTTTTTGATATAATTATCGTGCACATTGCAACGTTTGTCAAATCGGTTCATGAGTTTTCCATTCCCGTCTGCAAAAATGTTGCCGACAGCCATGGTATTGAAATTAGTTTTTTCGAAGATGCCATTATAGGTCATTATTCAGAAGAAGAGAAATGAGGTGAGTTGACTGATGAAAAAGCAGAAACACACAATCCAATTGTATTAATCCGACAAATCTTGCGCAATTTCCACGAAATGTTTTCGAGCACTTGATGTACAGACCAAAAACAGAGACATTTTCGGGAGTTAAAAGCAGATCAACAATGATGGCAACTTTTCCCCACCAACTAAGAGCTTCAGCCCGCCTTGACAACCTTCGTCAGCACAACGGAGACAAAATTTATTATGCTACGCATCGCAGCACAAAATTGCGGCAAAGACGCAATTTGCAAAGGGAATCCCGCAGTAACCGGTTCCCGACCCATCAGTTGCCATCCCGGCTGCTTGGTCGCTCGGTTTTACCCAAACACAACAACGAAAGCGTCACGGTACGTCTTGATTTTCACTACTCAATTTACTGTTATTAATATTATTAACATTATTCCCAATATAATTATTAGTACAATAATTATAATAATAATTAATTATGTGCAGTGACGTTGCCAAGTTGCGAGAAACGAGTGTGTACGAAAGACATTACATATCAGTGATCTGCAGAGCGGTGAAGTGAAGGATGGAGAGGTGGAGTGCTATGAAAGCTTGCACGGTGGAATATTTATGTTAATTAGTAAAGTTTGTTACGTTGTTAGTTCTGTACTGTTAAGTTAGTGTATTCTGCCAACAAGTTCTCAAACGTAATTGCAAAATTGGTAATAAATCTAAAATTTAACCAATCAAATTTCGGGCTGACGACAAGGCAGAGCGTTCGCCAGGAACGTTGAATGGGCGTTGGCGAGAGGAGAGAGGACAGACTGAATGCCACGGACTGGACTGCGCCCGCAGACCGTAAGTTTCCCGGGGACCGATTCCTCAGTGCACGTGAAACCACTACTCTTTACTGTATACACCTTTGATGACGCACTCACCATTACACAGCCTGAGTTTGCCCGTGTATTTGCCCACAACAGTTCATGTGCCCGCGGGGTGATTTCGACGAACCGTCGAACCGCACGTCCTACGTGCCTTAACATAACTACACTCCAGGAGGGATCCGATTGGTAACCACAAATTGGCATCGAAACTGTGAACCCCTAGGCGTGATGGTTACATTATGAAAACGTTGTAAAACTCAACTATTCTGACTAATGTTTCAATATTTACGATGTTGAAAAGTAACTTCGATTCTCCATTTCACCTGGTAATAACACCATTTAGTTATTCACACTTGGTAATTTTATTCCCCCATGGGACTTGAAAACTTATCCCTCGTAAAGAGTGAACCAAAAGCTAATATGTATAAATTAAATAATGGATCGGGAAATTTGTGCTGATGCATGACATTAATGAAATTATAGAACAAGCATTACTCAAAATGTTCAGATCATTCATTTTCAGAATTGAAGCATGCACAAGATTCAGACCCGCTCATGTTTCATACATATTTCTCTTGAAGTTCGTCAGAATTTCGTTCGCCTCATTTGTTTTTATGGAATACTGGATTCTGTAGCTTGATATGGAATGAATATGGATGGAAGATCATTAATAAATTTGAATTGTATTTTTATAGACGCTAACCCGACCTGTTAGTATCACTTACCAGATGTAAAGGGCATCAAGGAGATATTTTAAATTATGTTCATCTCTGAACAATCTGTGGAGCAACATTGGTGAACCATTTGCACATTTACTGATTTCTTGAAAACATACGAGTTAGAAAACACAAAGACAATCAGAATTTAAGTAAACATGGTCTTAAAAGTAAAACAGTATAATTTGAAATAGGGATGAAAAAAATAAATATTTTATTTAATTTGAAATTTAGAAAAGGTGTATTAAAGATAAAAAATCACAATAAACACATCAGATAACTTCACGAATCCATTGAAAAAAAATCACTTGAGCAGTCGGGAAAAAAGGATTCGCATTTTATTATTTCTTTATGATGAGGATGATTCCCATCAGACATATTCTGTTTTCTTAGAAGGCTAAAAATAATCCTAACATGGGTTAAAGAAACAGAAAAATAAGAGTATGACAAAATTCACAAACCAATATTTAAATAAACATTCATCCTTAACTTTTTCATCATCATCATTCCATAACCCATTCCCCAGAGCTAGCAATCCTGGGGATTAAAAATTGGACACAGCATACGAATGCTGATCCTCCGGAAAAGAGAGGTCACGTACACTTGCCAGGGGATACGGTAGCCGAGCCTCAGTAAGTGCAGGTGCTTACGTTACGTGGTACGTTAAGTACGTTTGCGTGGTCCCAGGAGACCAATTCGCAACCAAATAATAAGTGATAATAATAACAATAATAATAACAATATTAATAATAATAGTAATAATAATAGTAATAAAGACGTGCATCTATGTCATTTTCGCGTGCTGTACCTGGGTGTCGCAGCAGCTGCTCCAAGTAGTCCTTGTCGACGCACAGCTCCCCCAGCAGGTGGCGCGCCTGCCGCCGCTCGCGCGCCGCCTCCGACAGCGTGCGCGCGCCGCTGGACGCGCTGCCGCCCGCCGTCCCCGGCCCCGCCCCCGCCCCAGTGCCAGTGCCAGTGCCCGCCGCCGAGGACGAGCCCCCGGGGCTGGGCAGCGCCGGGGCGGGGGCGGGGGCGGTCGAGCTGGCTGCGCTCTGCGCCCCCGCGCGCTCCCCCAGGGGCAGCAGATAGTGCTCAGCCGGCAGACCCGGGAACGTCTTGCCTGCCACACGACACTCCCTCAGGAGGAAGGCTCGGGACACGGATACACTTGGGTTTTTATTCTCGGCGGGCGAGTACTTGTCTCCACGATGGAACATCTCACGGTGTTTCGCGACTAGTGCCGCTAGATGTCGCATAATCGCGACCGTGCTGGTGCTGGTGATCCTGGATTTGTAGGTGGAATTCTAGCAGCACTCCAGACGCGAAATTCCGTCAGAAATTCGATCTTGAAGACAAGGCCTCGCGCATCAAGAAATAAAAATCCAAGTATATTGCTGCATCGAAAGGACAAATATGCATGTAAATATGCTCAGAAAGGACAAACATTTGTAAAATATGCGCCAGAACTAATGAAATAGTATGTTCCAACAATTAACAATTTTATGTATTCATAAACAATTAAAAATTCTTAATTTTAACAAATAAATTTTGCATTTTTATTGCCGCTTAGTATTCCACTGGTAATGTATGAAGTAAAATACGATGAGTTTATCTGTACCATTGTCGCATCACTTCAAGTCGACTCGCCGTGCGCGACGCACCTCCGATGGTGTTCTCGATGGCCTCCTGCGCCTTCTGCGCGCCCAGCCGGAAGCCCTCGAGCTCGGGGCGCAGGCGCAGCCCGCGGTGGTAGAACACCAGGCTGTGCTCGAAGTCGCCCAGGTGGTACAGCGCCTCCGCCTTCTGGAAGATGGCTGCGCGCGCGACGGCCCATCAATGCACAGGCCCCCGCCACATGCGCCCTCGCTTATGCACAACTTCATAATAATTCATCATTCACACAAAATAGTTTAATAATATTCGTTTTTAAAATTGTAAAGATGTAAAGGATAACCTTTATTTTCAGTAATATTGATTACTTCATACATTTACAAAAAAAATTAATTGTGGTCTGCATTGTCATGTTTGGGTGCACACTACTTTTCAAAATTATCTAGGTGCTAAATGCGTAAACCGCTAAAGAGAAACTTTCATTTATTCCAACATTATCAGAAACTGGTTAAAAGCACTTTGATTTTAATAAACCAAAAATCTTATAAATATTACACATATTTGAAATTACACTAAAAGGATTTCCGAAAAGGTTTGCAAGTTATGACATCAATTGGAATGAATTTAGACCATTGGTTCCATCTCTTGAACATTTTTAGAGAAAATTGATGATAGCTCCCCCCCCCAAAAAACAGGGAATGATCGGGTGCATTTTTTTGAAAATGATGAACTGTTAAAAATTTTTAGTTTTCAATAATATTGTAGTTACGTTCCAGTAAGGATTGTCTGGAACTGGTTACCCCTTGTTCGCGAGTTCGAACTCTACGGCTTAATTCTGATTTCAAGTACACGTGATTGTCCCATATTGCAGATTTGCGGCATGTAAAAGAATTTCAAGAGTAAATGGCGCTGGAAAATTAAAAAGAGCTTGAAAATTAAAAATGCCTATCCCACATGGGTGCTGGTTTCGCCAAATAAGGCCACAATCTAAGTATACGGTTAAAAATAAAATTGTTGGATGATCAGCCATAAGCGGTATCTACTATAAGAACAGCGCAGATCTTCAACGCGCGGCGATGGTCAGCGTATCGGACTGGTGTACCCAAGTTGGCGAGTTCAAACCCGATCGAAGCCTTGGATTTTAAAGCGCGAATGAATCCTTCGTACGCCTTCCTTCGGAGGGGAAGTGAAGTAAAGCCGACTGTCCCATGTTAGTAGATTTACTTGCATGTAAAAGATCAAAATCTAAATGACGCCTCTGAGCTAAATTCAAACCGCCTGCTTCTCGCCCAGGAAATACCTCCTTCCTCTGCTAGTGGATTAAAGGAGGCGAAAGGGGGTAGCGAAATTTGCGTGGTCAGACTGAAGAGCGGGCCTGATGGCCCGAGTCTCGCCACGAAAAAAAAGGCAGTGACTCAATTCAATCCCAAGAATTTTTCAAGATTCAGAGATCAAATTCGTGAGCTATATTCAGTTCATTCAGGGATTTTAGGGGTCAGTCACCGAGACATTATTTTCGTAATGTTTGATCTAGAATTAATTTGCAGTGAATAATTATTATGTAGCGACAATTTATCGATGTTGTATTATTTACAGTGTCAAGCTTAAAGTGGTGTTTTTGGGTGTGAACGAATGTTACGCTATAGAAGCATATTTGTGCTTCGCAAGACGATAATAAAAATAAACATTTTATAATTATTCGTTATTTCTCGAGCGTAAGTACATAAATGCCCGTTACATCGAGTTTTGTGCAGTACTTTTATCTGCGGCTAATGATAACAATTATCATTTAAACACTTACATTAAACGTTACATTTCAGCTGACTTTCAGTGCCCAGACTACGCTGTCTAGTAGTCACCCAAGTGTCCCAAATCAAAAAGCAATTGAATTGTGTAGATTGGGTGCTTTTTTATTTCCTTTATCATTGTCTTTAACAACAAAAATATTCATTTCTTTCTAAAATATAAACAATTCATATGTTTCTGGATTGTTCATATGTTTCTTCCCACGACATCCTGTATGCATTTTTGTTACAAATACGAATAATGATTAAGTTATTAATAAACACACAAATTCAAGATCATTAATTAAACACGTGGGAATGCCCTAACCAAAGTCAACTGAATCACCAAGTATAGTTTCAATATAATATGCAATCAAAAGGATTTTATAAAATTAAGTCGCTCTTCAACCACTAAGGTCATACAGCATCCTCTGTAATTAACATCAGCTTTATTGGGACAAGGGTAGTGGAATTCCACAAGGAAACATAAACGAGCATGTCCAGGGCGGGATTCGAATCCGCGATCCTTCGAGAGCTGTGGCCCTTCCGCCTTAGCGACTTCGGCTACCCTGACCGACGCAAAGGACATTTTATGGTTTATTTAAGGTCGCATCAACTACTAGGTCATTAACGACGATATTGTTGGTTTAAACATTGGGGTATCCGTAAGAATAGACAGTTATCAAGAGGACCGCCAGGTAGCACGTCAACAAAAGCGCCTCTTTACACCCACTCCTGCGCCAGTATCCAGTTCTCAGAAATGGGAAAGAATTAGGATGGAGGTAAGGCACTTCTCAGGGAGTTGGACAAGCCCCGAAAATCAGCCAATCTCGTTTTATCGAAAAAAAAAATCACATGAGATTGTCTGGGAATCGGACCCGGGCAGTCATTGAAAGGTGTAGAAGCGCTGCTCCTTTACGTGCATCGGAAGAGCAATGCGTTTGCAGCCTCTGTAGAAGATCTTTCGCTCTCACCCTTGATGAAGGTCTTGTCGGGGCGCAGCGCCGTCTCCGCGTCCTGCAGCGCCAGCTGCGGCTGCCCCAGCAGCAGGTAGCAGCGCGCGCGCGCCACCAGCGCGTTGCGGTCGCGCGGGCTCAGCTCCAGCGCCTGCGCACAGGCGCACAACCGCCTTTCAGAAACCTCTCAACACGCGACAGGGGAAGGGCTGTTTCTTTTGCCTGCTTCTGCATGTGAAAGTACCTTTATCAGGAGGGGGGGTTAGCATTTTACCTGAATTACGATTTTTATTCCCCAAGGTTGTTAGTCCTGGGGTATGGACGAGGAGATGATGATGATGGTGGTGAGAGATGAAAGGACGTCATACACATACAGACATACGCAGATACAACCATGCCCGAGGTGAGACTCGAACCCGCGGACGTCTGGCCCGAGATCGCTACAACATTACTGCCCTAACTACTTCGGCCATTTGACCGGCCGTATTAGCCATTATTTTATACAATTTCTTTGATAAAATGTAGCCACACACGTTCAAGAAGTATGAACAATTAGAATGTTTGTATAATACTGTTCATCCGGACTAAAAAAATACCAAACGAACTGACGCGTATGACATTTTTCCGAGGAGTGGAAAATGTGGGCTTTGGAAAATGCCCAATTCATGAAGTTAACTTCAAAATCAGAAGACCCAATTTTGAAAAAAGGAAGAGGGCAAAGAAAATGGATTGTTTCCTCATCCATCCTCAAATAATTCATTTCTAAGTTCTTTAATTAATGCTTCACAATGTGCGACCCATGGCATCACCCTCAAAGGTCTCCTCTTTACCTTTTACTTCTTCAGCATTAACCATATATTACGTATTATTAAGCATAAAGTAGCACAAACACAATTATGTGTGCGTCATCCAACTTGAATTGCGAGCAAAACTACATAAAATATTGCACGAAATGTGATACGTTCGTCAAATTTCTTTGTCAAAGTATTCTTCATCAAAGTTCAAAGATGTTACACAAAGTTCTTCATCAAACATATTTGTCAAATATCCTTTACAGTGTAACACCGCAGCCGGCAACCGCCAACCGGCAACCGCCTTCGAAAGATTTGGGCTTCTCGTTTCCTTGCCCATTCTGTACTTGGTGCGACAGCCCGCAAACAGGCCAGAGCCTACCAGCAGCGTCCCGGCCTCGCGGTCATGGGTTAAGGGGGAACGGGAGGTTAGTACGAAGACATCCCCACGCCATATTCTGGTCTTCTGAATTTGAGAAGTGGGTTTTCTCATCGTCACACAGCCACTGATACTGGGACATTGCAAGAACGAATGGGAAAGAATTAGGGTGAATACACTATAATCTTACCCGACTGGAAATCGAACTCCGGGTCGCGGCATGCAAAGCGAAACCGCTGACCAAGGAGCTACCCGCGAGGGTTTCCTTTCCAACTGGTGGTGCTAAAACAGCACGTACTTCCTCGTCCGTATTTTCACGCAAAATTACGCAAAAAGTACTCAAATTTTTGAAACATTGTACTTGACCTTATTTAAAAATCTATCTTAAAGGTTTCCATTACGGAAACGTATCTCTATCTTATTAATTGTAGTTGTAGGAAAGTGACGACAAGATTTTGAATTATTGTAATTTTCAAAAAATTATAGTTTTTAACGAACAAGAGACTTGTACCATTCTCTTAAAAATCCTTCACACTATCCAACAACAATATTTAATCAAAAATGATGTAGACATTTTTTTGAAAATTTGGAAAATTTCCCCAGGAGCTTCATGTAAAGTACCCCCCAAAATTAAAATACCGGTTTTAAATTCAAGGAGCCGCGACATCAGTCAAATACATTCGAAAATATCAATTTTGGAGAAATCGGCTGAACGGTTTATCCGCTAACGTTGACCACATTGGTATCAACTACCCACTACACATGGATTCTAACTACATTATGTGTTAGCTGTCTTTTTTTAAATATAGGAATTGGATTTATTCACTTTTTCGTTACCAGAGCCCTGTAATACGAGTTTTTCTATGTAACATTACATAACTTTCTTTCTACTCCGTAGCGAGAGAGTGAGTAAAAAGGAATCTCAAAGGCGGCTTCACACATTGGGATTCGCCAAGTAGCGAGCTGCTCGCTCAATCTGGAATAACCGATTGAGTGATGAAGATACACGGATAATATTTTTTATTTTTGATGTGTGCAAGGACTGACGGGATGTAACTCGTGCAGTGAAGTTTTGGCGGTCGGCAAATAGGGAGCAACCCATCAATGTTAGAGGGGATTTGGAAAGCGAATACAGAATGTGTGGATCTGCTTTTATGATTCTCTGAAGTTGCCAGAGATTTTGGATAGATTATTCTTTTGTAAAAATAATAATCTATTTATGAAAAAAATGTATTACTAATATTGTTGCAAAGGGCTTTATAATTTTGAGGTTAAATTCATTGTGGAAAATGGAAAACAAATTATTACAATATAAAGCAACTAGTTGATTTGAAAACACTCTACTTTACATTCAGTGTGGAAAAACCTTTTGAGTTACAACAAAATGTCCCGTAGAGCATGCGCTAGGCACTGCTTGAGCAAATCCAGTCCTGTTTGTGCAAGAGGAGCTTTCTATCTGCGCTCTATTTGAGCTCTCATTTTATCAGTAGCGAGGGAAGTGGTGGGGGGTAGTTATTTCGTCGTTAACTACTTCATCGGACGTGGCAATAACTAGTTTCCCGATACAAGTAGTTTCAATTAAGCTGGAGCAAAAACGTTTTGTTACCAATTGCCAACGCGTTAATTCCACCTTCATTGATATTTCATATGGTACGTACAAGAGAGGAGGTAGGAATTCCGCAGCTCAAGGAAACGTCATCAAATATTATTATTATTATTATTATTATTATTATTATTATTATTATTATTATTATTATTATTATTTGCGTAAAGTGTTAGTCCGCAGATCAATTAAAAACACCACAAGCACATCATACAAGCGCATGTTTGAAAGCCATTTACTACTTAAGATGTACGTTACATAAAAGTTGTTTTACTTGTGTAAGCTCTCTACCTGTAGATAGAAAATATAGTTTAGATCATAATGCCAAATTAATATTTTGAAGGTTCACTAAATTCGTTATTCTAGTTTTAAGAAGTTTGTAGAGCCAATCTTTAAAAAGTGCAGCATAGCCTTGAATATCGAAAATAATTGGAGATTTACACTAAAATATACTCATTCCAAAATACATTTTTAATGTATCCTTCTTTGTATTCATGTTCTACTGACAACTATTTTATGCTTGTTAAAGAGAAATAGTACTCGCACGATATAGGACCGTCTAATTCTAAAGCCTTGGTCGAGATTGACTATATTACCGATTACTACCTTCAAGAAAGATTTCCTTCAATTCAACTCATGTCAAAGACATCAATAGTTCCTTTTCTGTACCAGCTCATCACCAAGCAGGGAGGTGAGAATTGGCGCGCGCGCGCGCGCGCGTGTGTGTGTGTGTGTGAATGCTCTCGACAGAATTCCCACGATCCATTCAGACTGCGCTGTGAAAGCGAAGATGTTTTTCTGTGATTATTTCTTCGATCCGTCCCTTCTAGAATTTTGAATCCCCCCGGAGAAAATTTCCAATTTGCACCAGTTGCACCAGGTGTAGTTAGGTTAGTTGGAAATAGTACTATGCATTTATATTTAAGACACCGTAAGTGTTGAGAGGTAATTTCCTTTTATGAGGGTTAACAAAAACGACGATTTACTTTCCAATGCTTTATGAATGAAAGTGACAAATTACATCTATTTTTTACCAGAAGCAGCAAAAAGCTTTGTTTTTTACTGTAAAAATTAAGATATTTGAGGTGCTGACGTACACATATTTGTTTGATCATTCTCTAGTGCTGTAAAAATAGCAGGGTGATGTCCCCCCTTACGACGAATGTAGGTTTTCGATGATTATGTCCTGGTCGTTAAACACGCACGCATTCACCTCCATTGCACGCGGCGCGTAGGGTGAGGAAGATTTTGTATCTCCGAACGTAGAACACAGAATATCCACTTGTCCTTTGAATACCGGCTTCATAGAGCGGTTAAATTCTGTCACTGAATTAAAGAACACAAGGTTTCAATCGATCAGAGATTTTCCTTTTCACTTCGGATCGCTACACACGGTAGAGCATGAAAAATTTTATAACTGAACCTCCATCCTGCCGACCCTTCCTGCATTTAGATAAAAGTATGTAAAAATGAATAGTAAAGGAGAGCATATGAAAAACTATATTTACATTCCAGTTAGGAATGAAATAAATATAGTTTCGTAGTGTCATTCACAGACTGTCACTCATGAAATTTGAACCAATAGGGGTTAACAATTACAGAAATGTAGAACCAATCAGAGACAAATTACCCGCGCATTTTCTACCCCGTCTCAATCCCTCCCCCGTCTCCCTCTCTCTCTCACCGTCTCCCAGTTTTTTAACGTTAAATAAAAAATATGCACATGAAATACTGCAAAAGGTAGAAATACCAATATTTCAACGTCCATGAACATACAGTTTGAACATATTATACACCACATCTTTTTCAAAGTTAGCGTCTTTTCGATAGAGAGCATAAGACATTCACGATATTTTAAGCTGTCATTAACGTTTGCACGTTCCGTGGTAACTTTGTCACCAAAGGATCTCGTGTTTAATTAATTGTTTTCGAGATATTGGAATTTCCCACTAAGCGTTGTTTTGGAGGCACGGGGGGGGGCATTTTTTGAGCAACGTGGTAAGTTTTTGAAGAAGGAGGGATAAAATAAACCAAGGATTCTTCAATAAAATTCAACATTAAATTAAATTCTCAATTCAATTTAGGTCACAGTAACCTGTAGTTCACTTCGATATAACAGAGCAACTTTCGCTCTAAAATCCCATTCATTGCGCAGGAGGTTGCAGGTTTTTACAGGTGGCGTGGAAGCGCAATACCCAAAACACTTCCTTTCTTTTTCCCCACCGAGCAGGCGCGTGGGAGACATCCCGCGTCGTCACGCAAGCGCTGCCTGTCAATTCCTCACCGCCCCCCCCCCGGGGCCACCCCTCTGGGCCCCGACGGCGCCTCCCGAGATATAAATGGCCTCGGCACGCCTCGTCTCTCACCGGATGCACTCC